GCAGCTGTTTGTCCGAGTCTTTTGTCTTCTCCCTGTTTGGCCAGCAGGTGTCGCTGGCCATCCTGTCTTCCCCATCAGTCTTTAGTGTTTACCCCTGCTCCTCAGATGTCCACATGGTTCAATCAGCTGAGTGTGCAGCGACCTGTAAACCCCTCAGTCTTGTGTTCAAATCTCCATTTTTGTAGATTTTGTTTCATGTGTATCAGTTTTCTAGTTCCTGTGTTTTGATTTGTATTCAGTTTTGATTTTTGCTTTTGTGCCCGTGATAGGTAAAAACACAATCTGTTATTCCCCTGTGTTAGATTTGTTTTCCCTGTTTATGTTAGTTTCTTATGTTTGTTTGATTCCCTAGTTCCCTGAGTTAATTATTAGTTTCACCTGATGTCTGTTTTCTTGTGCCAGTCCTTGTGTATTCTACCCTGATTGCTCATTGTCCTGCACCTTCCTCAATTGGTTAATTGTTCTCACCTGTTCTGTATTATCCTTGTTAACCTTTTGTATTTAAGTTCCTGCTCCTGTTCTGTTTCTCCTGGGGCCTGTACTACAGATCGGGGTAACCGGGTCATCGGGGTAACCGGGTCATCGGGGTAACCGGGTCATCGGGGTAACCGGGTCATCGGGGTAACCGGGTCATCGGGGTAACCTGTTGGATTTAAGGTAGTCTGGGCAAAACGTAAGTGAATGAATATGAACTCCATTTAAACTGTGGTACCTTAAATCCGACAAGTTACCCCGCTTCGTAGTACAGGCCACTGGAGTCACTGACGTTGAATGTTCTGTTGTTTGTACTCTGCCTATCTGCCCTTTGTTGCCCTGACCCTTTTGTTATTAGTCTTTGTTTATCCCTTTTAGTTTTGTAGTGTTCTTAGTGTGTTCAATTTTGTTCAATAAACCCCCATGTTTCTGTGAACCACCAGTGGGTCGTCCACATTCTGCCCCATGCCTTCTCTGCCCGAGTCCATGACAGAGAAGAGTTTACAGCAAACGTGATATTTAGCCTGCCTTTTGGTTTTCCATTAACACAGCAAAGTGTCCTTAGGTTATTATCTATTTTGACCTGATGCTCTTACATAGATGGCACTCAGAGTGCTATCTGTACATGCTGATCAGTCTGAACGTGGCTGAAGAGGGACAGGGAGCTGTTGTGGCTCTATGTCTGAACAAGCTAGCGTGGGTGGATGTAATGTATCATGTGTGAGCAGAATTAAAGTTCGCAATCCGTGCGTCTATGTATGCAACTCCGAAGCATATTTTCTCATTTTTATATGGTGACCGCCTCGAAAAAAAAAACACATGGATGGCAAGTAACTCAAGCAATCAATCAATCAACCAATCAATCAGTCTTTATTTAAATAACGTCAGTGGAGCGCTGTCTATGTTCACTCCATGTCATCATCACCCTGAATAGGGCAAGTGGTTTCAGAAAATGGATGGATGGATGTTTTAACCACAGGGTTACAGATATTTTAAAAGAAGAAAAAGAAAGAAATTAGCACACAAGAAATTTAAATAAGCACAATAAAAATAATAAAATATCCCCAGAATTGAGGGACTTTAACCTCCCACGTTTTTCACAGGGGACATTAACCAATACCATGTCGGAGACTCTAATCCATACTTCACCGGGGACTCTAGCCCATACCTCATCAGGGACATTAGCCTATACCTCACCGGGAACTCTAGCCCATACCTCATCAGGGACATTAGCCTATACCTCACCGAGGACTCTAGCTCATACCTCACCGGGGACTCTAGCCCATACCTCACTGGGGACTCTAGCCCATACCTCA